CCCGAGTCCCCTTAAACAGGAGAGGCTCAGAAACGGCTCTTTTGGGAGTGCCGGCTTCTTTTCTAGGCCAATTGGCACAAAAGTTAATTTCACCCTTGGCAAGGATTGATGGGTTACTTATCCCCAGAAAGGGCCCGCGGTGGGTTCTCCTGGGTCCAGTAAAGGCATTTCTCCACCTGAAGTTAGAAGCATGGGAGCAGGGATGATGGGGATGATGAATCATGCGGCATTTGGAGAGGTGGGGAGGGGCTGTCTTTTTGAGCAGCTGCTTCCCCACCCCCACCCCGACCTGGGCTCTTGACTCTTTCTGTTCCTTAAAGAGCAGCCAAACTGCAGCAGTCTAATCCAAAGTGCCTCCCGCCGTCCTTCTGCACCCCAGCAACCCAAAACGCTTTTGAAGCACCTCATATATAAACGCAGAACTGGGGAGCTGGAAGGGACCCTTTGAACCACGGTGTCCGGCCTCTGACAAGGAGGCCCTGTGGGCAATCCAACTCCCAACCAGATGCCTAAACCACTGAGCTATCCAGCAGTTCATTAAGGATCATAGAATGATAGAAAAGTGAAGTTGGAAGGGGCCTATAAAGGCCATCCACTCCAATCCTCCCTGCTCAACGCAGGAGGACCATCAAAGCAGATCTGCCGAGGGATTGTCCAAGTTTTTCTTCAAGGCCTCCAGGGTTGGAGGGCTGACCACCTCCCGAGGTCATGGGTTCTATCGTCGTACTTCTCTAACAGTTAGGAAATTTTTCCTGATATTCAACTGAAATCTGGCTTCCTGTCACTTGAGCCCATCATCATCATCATCATCATCATCATCATCATCATCATCATCATCATCATCATCATCATCATCATCATCTTAGAACTGCAGAGCTGGAAGGGACCCTACAGATGACCGAGTTCCCAACTTCTGGCTCTGCAGCTCCTAAACCCTGGAGCGATCCAGCGTTCCTGATGGATCCTTCCCTTTAAGTCTGAGCCAGACTGGGAAGCTCTCCAAATGGAGGGCAGCTTGAATTGAGGTCCCCTCCCCAATAATCCTTCAAACAGAGGGCTCTCTGCCCAGCAAGAGAACAAGGAGTCACCAGACCCAAGTTTCTGCGAGCGAGACGCGCCCTGGGGCAGTCTGGGGTCCCCTCCCGAGTCAGCAGTCATTGGGTGTGTGTGTGTCTGGCTTTGAAGGCCAAGATGGGGAGGGGAGGACAGACCGCCAGCGCCGCCAGCGCCATAATTAGCACCGCCGCCCCTGCTGTGGCCCCATCAGGGGAAATCTGTGCCTGGCGAGCGTGATTAAAATGACACAATGTCAGAAGAACGGCAATTAGAATAAGTGCTTTTTAAATATTATTCTATTTTTATCATGGGCAAAACCCTCTGCTGTAATGAGCTGGAAGCTAATTGAGAAAGCAATGAGTGTGTGCCTCCCCCAAGCCCTCGCCATCCACGCACACACACACACACACACGCACACGCACATTGCCAGAGAAGAAAAAGCCAGCGTGGAAGACAGACAGGCCAAGGCAGGGGGGGGAGGAGCCGTGCGGGGCCAAGAACATTTATTTTATTTAACTAATTAGCCCGTCTCCTCATTCCATTCACGGGCGCCTTAAATGGGTTTGGAATTCTAATCCGCTCAGCAAATTAGATTATTGCCTCCTTAGCGCAAAACTTGTTCCGCAGATGCCGGAGAAATCAAGGAAGATATTTCCCGGACTGACAAGGCGGGTTGGATGGGGCACCTGGCCTCTCTCTGGAGGGCAAACGCCAACCCGGGGAGCCCCGGCTGGTGGGCAAAGGCCACCTCTTGGGCCACAGGCGGTGGCCTCCAAAGGCTCGGCCAGAGGCACCAAGGACACAAGCTTAGGAAACCCCCCCAAAGCCCCCTTGTCTGCCCTGGCTGCTTCTGCGGCACAGCCGGGGAGGGCTCCCTTTGAGTCGGAGAGCAGAAGGGGGGGGGTGCCAGCCCCAGGAGCTAAATCCCAGAGGGAGCCAGGGCTGGCAGGCTGGCTTTCCTGGACTCAACCCAACCCATCGATCAGCTTAAATGGAAGTCAAGGGGAAGAGGGGAGAGAACAAACCGAAGTCCTTGGCCTGCACAATTTATTTCTCACACCGGCCTTGCTCTGGCAAACAGCCTGGCTATAATTCATCCATTGGCCACGGGAGGGTTTTTTTTAAAAAAAGCTGTCGGACTGGCAGGCCCTCAGACGCGACCCTCCAGGAAATCTAAAATCCCCACCATAGCCACCAGGGCCCTGCTTGAGCAGCATCCGTCACGCCACCGTGGCAAGCCGAGACGTGGCCCAAGTGGGGCGTCAGAGCAAAGCAGGAGCAGGGAGGGCAGGTGCCTCTTGAGCAGCCGGTGTCCCTGGGCAAGGCGCAGCTGCAGGTCACGCCACCGTGGCAAGCCGAGACGTGGGCCAAGTGGGGTGCCAAAGCAAAGCAGGAGCCTCTTGAGCAGCCGGCATCCCTGGGCAAGGCGCAGCTGCAAGAGCTGAGCAGTGGCCGTGGCAGGACACGCTTCCCGGCCCACGAAGGGGGCGATGCTCTCAGGAAGAGCATCTGGCAATCAGAGCGTGCAAGGCCAACGACAAACCCCCTCGGAGGGTGGGAACCGTTCCTCGGAAGCAACCACAGCGTGGAAGATTCCCCTGTGGGACTCCAGAAGCCCTCGAGCTTCATTCTGGCCAGTTTACACCTGGAAAGGAACGTTTCCAAGCTCTGGAAGCAACGGGGGGGAGGGGGCTGTTAGCCACCCAAAACTGAGTTGGGCTCTGTGTTGCCAGGACGTGGGGAACCCGCAGGTGTCTCTGGGGACTCCTGTGCTTCTCCAGGTCTTTGGGCAGGGATGGGAATTTCCAGGTTCAAGCAACTGGAGGAGGACGGCTTGTGCCTTTAAAGCCCCAGAATCCGTTCTCTGCTCATTCCCATCTGTGGCAAGGCTTGGGGGCTGGGAGGCAACGTTTATTGGCTTTTATTTGTTTGTTTGCTTAAAGTAATGCTACCCCAGTCAGACTCGAGCTGATTGACACCTTTAAAATGCAACACTGAAGCTTAGAACAGTGAATTATTCAAATAGTAAACAAATTCATAACGTGATATTAAACATGTTGGTAAATATTGCTGAAACAGATTTAGCAGCAACAAAATGCAAACGATCTCATTCTGAAACCTCTCCTAGACGGTCAGTCACGAAGGACAAAGTTGTTGGCATGTGTGTTGTGTGTTCATCCTTCACGCAACCATTGTTTGTCCCTTCTCTGTGACTTCACAAGGACCTGCCACCCCCCCTTGCTCTCAGGGTCTGCTCCTCTGAACGGTTTCCCTCCAGCCTTTCTATCTACAGTTCTCATTATGTGTTCCCTGCAACCATGATCCTGACTGTCCAATTAGCTTTCTTGCGGGTCATAAAGAGGGCAACAGTCCATGAAAATTCAGACTAATATTATACAAGGATGGTGGGGGTGGGATGGGGGTTGCCCTTCCTGGTGCCATATGATTTTCCAGTTAGAACCACTACTTCCCTTGAGTGGAATGAACAAGATGGGTTCCATTTGGATGTGAAAGCATTTGTTGAATCGGAAAGGCCGCCCCCGGGCGGAAGCCCCAGAGAAGTCACCCATCTGGAGAGGGGAGCAGACCCAGGGGGCCCGCCAGGGTCAGCTCTTGTGCAAAGATCTCCTCTAGGCTTCACGGCTGAGCCTCCCTTTAGGAGCCCTGTTGCAAAGGGCTCTGGCTGCCATACAGACTGAAAATGAAAGGAGATCTGCACCTTCAGGGGCAGATGGGCATGAATTGAAAAAGAATAACTAAATTTGTTCAAAAAACCAATGCCCCCAATGAATCACAAACCGACAATTTTTTTGTGATTTTTGATTCATCAATTAGTTTGGCTATAAAATGCCCACCAAAGCGCCTAGAGACACCAACATTACAGGGAAGCTTCCTTGGACCCTCCTCTACAATCTCTCCATGTTTGGTGAAGACTGAGTCGCAGACATCTGAGTTACTGATCCACAAAGAGGTCCCCCTAGGAAGGTTTTCCCCCAGGCACCTAGGGACAGCAACATCTCAGAGAAGCTTCTACTGATTGTCCTCCTCAATATCTCCCACTTTGGCGAAGATTACGTAGGTGTTCACAAATCAGCTGCTCAAGGGCACTTTCCAGGAGGACCCACTTCGTTGGCATATAACTTGGATGTCTGAACGCCAATTTTCACCAAATCTGGAGGGATTGTAGAGGAGAGTCAAGGGAATCCACTCGATGATTTTGGTATATGTAGGTGCCCGGGGGGGGGACCTTTCCATGGGGTGGCTCCTTGTGGGTGTACAACTCAGACTTCCGAAATTCACCAAACTTGCAGGGGTTGTAGAGGATAGTTAGGAGACGCTGGCCTGTGAAAATGTTGTCTCTGGGTGCCTGGGGGGGGGGGTCCATTTTGCAAGGTTTTAAATTTTAAAAATGAATTAAATTGATTCATCAGGAAGAATTCATAAATTCATAAATTCATGATTCATCTACCTTGTTGATTCACAAATCAAAAGGGATCACCCTTTTTCTGATCCACATCCATCTCTAGGGGTAGGTCTGTGAGTTGGGTACTTGTCTGGGGAGCCGGAGGCTGAGAGTTTGATTCCTCACAGAGCCTTGGAGGGAAGAGCCAGTCTGTGTGGCCTTGGACAAGCTGCGCAGTCCCAGAAGAAGGGAATGGGAAGCTTCAAGCTTCAAGCTTCAAGGCAGTGGCCCTTTCTGTGCCTGCAGTTCCTAGAAAATCCAGCCACTTCCATTGCTCAGCTCTCTTCCATGGGGGACAACAGCTGATTCCGGCAGGGAAACCTGCTCAGGACTTGGTAGCAACCTCAGTCTGCACTTTCTTCATACCCCTTTTGGTCAGTTTTTCCCCCAAAACTTGGCTGCCCAACTGGGGTGGAGAGGAAGGCTACAGCTGTGCCCTTGCTTTAAAGTCTACCCAAGAAGTCATTATCGAAAAACTCACGCTTATTTTTGTCGCGTCCTTCCCAGCTTCTTCCTGTGGAGATGCTTTTAGCTGTCGGGAATGGAGGGGGAAGAAGGAGGGAGAGAACAGAGAGAGAGAGAGAGAGAACCCATTAGTTCAGCTTGGGGAAGAAAAAGGGAGAGGAGGAAAACAGCATCAAACTAATTCACACCTTGGCCTTTAATGCAGTCTTCAAAGGCAAAATCTGGGCTGGGAGAAAGAGAGGAAATTTATGGGGATGGAGGGAGGGAGGGCTTCAAGCCATGAAAGCAGAGGGAAGGAGGTACGACGCTGGGACCAAGCGATGGGAGGGTCTTCTTCTTCAGGGCAAGTGAAATCTTTCTGACAATGCTTGCGGGCTTCATTCCCTCTAGCCATGACGGATGTTGGCATGGCACATTCCGAAAGGCCCCTAGATCATCACCCTAGGAATTCTCACATCTGCCCAGTAAGGTCGCCCAGTTCACAAGGGCAGGGCTGGGAAATTCTCCGCCCGCTCTCCCCCTGCCCCACTTCCTCTCATGCCTGCCCCCAGTTAAAGCCCGCTCTCTTATTCGCACCCAGCCCAGTTCCTCTCCCTCCTGCCATGGGGAGTTCAGGGAAACCTTGGCAGACAGAGCCAGTTGCCAAGAAAACCCTGATGGGAGCTGAAGGGCCAAGCCCATGGGGTTCAGAAGGGCAGGGAAACAGCTGGGCGGCCCCGTTGGAAAGACAGGATGAAGAAACCCAGGAACGCCTGGCAGCCGGTGACCAAACTCCTCACCACAATCTGAAAGCACAGGAGGACCACCTCCGGGGATGATGGAGGGCAGAGGAAAAGGTCAAACTGAAAAGTCCATTTCAGACCAATGGCCAGCCCCACAGAGCTGCAGGTGGGCCACTCGAGAGGGTAACGTGTGCCCCCCAGAGATTTTGAACCCTTTTTTTTTGCACTTCCCACAGTCGCTTGCCCCATTTTTAAGCAAAAAAGGTGAATCATTGCTCCTAGAAAACGCCTGATGTGGGCTTTTAATCTCAAACTACCAGTCGCTTGCCCCATTTTTAAGCAAAAAAAGGTGAATCGCTGCTCCTAGAAAACGCCTCTTGCCTTTTTATCTCAAACTACTTGTTGTTGTTGTTGTTGTTGTTGTCGTTGTTGTTGTTGTTGTTGTTGTTGTTGTTTTGCTCAGCAAAAATCAGAAAAGGGCTTTGCGGTCTTCCAAACAGTGCGAACACAGGAGCAGGGGGGGTTTCCTTTATCAGGCCACTCAAAAAATGAAGCGAACAACGAGCTTTCAGTGATAATTTGTCTTCTTCAGGCTGCACACCAAGCGCTACCCACAAGAACTCAGTGTGCAGCCTGAAGAAGATGAATAATTACTGGAAGCTCGCTCTTTCTTTTTTTCTAGATTTTTTGGAGTGGGCAAATCAAGGGATTCCTGCCCCCCCCCGCTCCTGTATTTCTTGTAAATCAATATGAGCTGCTTTCTCCCCCACTCCCGCTCACAATTTTTTTTTAAAAAAAAATAATTTTTGCATCAGGAGGGCTATGATGCACCCAGAAAGTATTGGGGGGAGCAGAAAAGTGCCCCCCCAGACCTGCAGAGGTCACTCACCTCTGGCCTACAGGGGGAAACAGTGGCACCCCCAAACATCTAGCAAACCCTTTCTGATTACTCTCCTGCATGAGCTTATTCTTTTCGGTGAGACTCAGACAGGATAACGTCCTAGTGGATTGGGTCCTTGATGCAGTGGCATCTCATCCAAGGGGAAGCAGGGGATCGAGGGAGGAGGGGGCTGTCCACTTCTCACATCTGGCTGCCCTGGAGAGAGGCAGAGGGGGGGGCTGGGTTTTAACAAACCAACATGGACGTAACACCGGACGTGTGTAGGCTCCAGTCAGTGCCCAGATTTCAAGCGGGACATCCATTGTGCCCCATCGGCCTGCGTCCAGTCGCTTCTGTCGGTCTCCACGCGGGAAATGTGCCCAGACTCAGGGGACACCAACCCCCTGGCAGGGGACACCGGTGTGTGAACAAGGAGCCTGGATATGCTTGACTTTCCAGATGGAAGAATTTAATAAAAGGAGAAGAAAAGCAAGATGCTGCAGGGGAACATTTGGGTTCGGAGGATGTTCTGATGTTATTTCCCCCACTGTTCTCTTAAGAGCCCGTGCTTGTTCTTTTGTGTAACATTTTCTAAAAACAAAAGAGAAGAAATAAAGACTTTACTAAAACAAAAGCAAGCGCAACCCTTGGCAAGGTCCTGAAAACCTATGTTTGCAATGGCGAGGGCGCCGATGTTCTCCCTCCGGCACCAAACACAGAGAGATGATTCTGCCCCCACCCCGTACCCCCCCCTCCCCGGAACTGGAAGAAAGTGGAGGTGTCTGGAGTCCATCTGCCTCCAATTTCGGGGGCTTTGCGGTGGCACACCCATGGAAGAGACAAAGGAATCAACTATGGGATGGGGGGGGGAAGAGAGATGGAAAACCCACCATGAATTCCACACAGTGTCCTGGAGCCTTGCTGATTGTTTGGGCTCCTGCTCCGTGCAAAGCAAGCGGGTGTAAATCATGATGTGGGCTCTCCTTGCATGCAAAATGAAGAAGAAGGGCCCTAATTTGTGAACTCATAGAGAGAGGGCAGGGTGGTGTTTCCCCCCTCCCCTTTTTTTCGGTCTCTGTGAATTGATTCCCCACCCTGCCTCTGCAACGGTGCTATGGAGTCAAATCTAAAGCCATTCTAACTGTTGCTTTGTATTTTTTTTCTTTTAAGGAAGAGAAGCTTAAGGCTCCATATGTGTGTGGGAGAGACCGCCGTCCACCTCTCCTTTTGTGTTTGCTGTGTACACACGCATGCACACAGGTTGGCTGGCATGCGTGGATTCGTGCTTTGCTTTGGAAAAGCAAGAGACGCTGGAACTGTACCGTGAACCACAGGAGAAACACCCTGCCTGCCTGGCGGATCGCTTTTGTAGCCATTGGAGAATAAACATCGTGTCAGGATAAAACTGTCCCCGCCCTAAAGGAGACATCACCAATATTTCGCACACATCCCTACACAAAACAGCCCTGAGCTTCCAAGGGTGAGTACCAAGAGATCCTGTTTCAGGGGTCAGCTCAACGGAAACCTTTTCCTACCTTGCTCACCATCAAATCCACCTCGGTCTGCTCTTGAACAGAGCCTGGAGGGGTTATTTTTTAGACCATCGGCCATCCTGGACAGGAGACGCGGGGAGTCAGTGTCCAGGAGAGAAAGACTCCAAGCTCTTGTGAGCAGGAACCTGCAATTACGTCCTCCCATAAAGTTTTTTTTTTTTTAAGTGGGATGGTAGGGAGTTTAGACCTCCACAGCTTGTTGTAGAAGCCACTCGGAGTTGGACCTACCAGGTACGCACTGGTTACCCCATTGTCGTGGCTGAGGTCTGAATAATGGCCCTGGGTTTCAGCCACTCGCTGTGCAGGCCAACGCTGTGTTTCTCAATGGAGCCTCTCTAAGGGCACATCCGGTTCTTGCATGGTGCCAAGCCACTGGTCATATATGTCTGGGTCATGCGCCAAGGGCGCAACCGGTCACTCATCCCGGTATTTGTTTGCTCTTTTTAAAGTATTTATTGTTTTTAGCTTTAAATATTGTCTTTTAATGACTTGAGCTGCTTTGGAACCTTTTTAAGGAGAAAGGCAGGGTAATAATGTGTTAAATATTAATAATAAATAATGATAACCTCTCTTCCCCCCCCCCCAAACCATGCTTAATAGAGCTGGTCAAAGATGTGCCTATCTTTTGAGGGATGGAGGCAAGGGAAGCCAGGAGGGGAGGTGGGAAAGGCAGTGGATTTTCCTCCCATTTGAAGCCCACCTGTTTGGACCCCACCTCCTTCTCAGCCTCCATCGCCAGGGTGACTGCATGAGGGTCTAGGGGCACACTTTCAGGCCACGTTGGCCAGTAACGCCCTATGAAGCAAGCACCGGTGTGGTCTGAAAGGGGATTTCCATGTCCGGTGCCCCGTTGCGTTGCTCCGATGCGATGACCACTGAGCGCCCACAGCCTCTGCCGTATGGGCTGTGGGAGGAGGGATCCATTCATCAGTCTGATCATGTCCCTCTGGGTCTGATGGTGGCTGGAAGACGTTTGCCATCTCCCAATTGGCTGTATATTGCATGCATTGTTTCATGCTTCAGTTCTCCGAATGTGTTCTGTTATCTTTAATTCTCACCTTTTTATAGTGCCGTCTTTAACCACGGAGCACGCATAACCATCTCCTTCAGAGTCTCCTTCACGCATCTGGTGAAGGAAGCTGATATGCCCTGGAAGGCACCTGACAGAGATGAGAACTAATTGGTTTAAGGTTTAATATTTCTTCACTCAGGGAGCTGCCGTTCTGCCAGGGGGTGAGGGGTGTGAAGCAAGCAATTTTCACTGCCTTCTCCACATTGCAGCCCCCAGATTCCTTGAGCAGGGCTGAGGCAAGGAAACTGGCACAAGACAAGGCTCGGTTTTTCATGCTGGCTAAATCTTGGCCACAAGGGACATAGATCATGGTCACACCTTGGAACCTAAGCTCCAGAAAGCAAGTAGTTGCAGTTATAGTCCTGTGCCCTTCCCCCCAAAAAATTAATTACTAGCCAGGGTAGTTCCAGTCTAAAAGCAACTCTAAACTTCTTCCATTTGTCTAAAGCATTTAATAAATACCAGTTCTAGTTGCATTAAAAAAGTCTGAAGGTGAAAAGCCCCTGGTACATAAAAGCTGCTCTGCTTCTTTCCAGTCTCCATGCACATCAAAAGTCTGAAGGTGAAAAGCCCCTGGTACTGTACATAAAAGCTGCTCTACTTCTCTCCAGTCTCCATGCACATTAATGCTTACTTCAATGTTTACAACAGAATGCAAGCCAGTGTCTGATCTATTCCTCTCCCTCCATCTAGTGAGGCCGCACCCCACAGCTATCAAAGTCACAGTTACGTCACAAGAGTAAAGTCAACTCTCACTAAGTTGCAGCCATCTTGCAACTCAGGGTGTGATCAGACTGCCATTTATTCCATGGTTTGGGGATGAGCTAGTTTACTCCTTTT